AGAGAGAGAGAGAGAGAGAGAGAGAGAGAGAGATACGGCGACGAGGATAGAAAGCCGCATAAATGAAAACGCCTGTGAAAACATAAGGCATTCCAACCGAGGAAGAAATAGGCACCGGAAGAAAAAACGAATGGATCCAATGTTTTAGCCCTCTTCAACCGCTAAATACCCGCCATTTCGATGCCAAAGATGCACTTTTCGAATTCTTCGAAACGATATTACACAGTCGGTATTATAGAAGATTATCGGAGGAAATCTTTCGAGTCTTCCTTCGATATTTTCGTCGCTCTATAAATATTCATTATTTCGACGCGAAGATGTATTTTTCAAAGAAGAATCTTTTTCGAGAAAAAAAATTCTGGAATCTTCGAAACGATCGGGATCACCGGAAGAAATCTCTCGATTTTTCCTTTGCTGTCTTCTTGATTCTATAGACACTTATCATTTCGCGTTTTGCAGAGATGTATTTTTCAAAGAAGAATCTTCTTCGAAAAAATTCTCGAACCTTCAAAACGACCGGGATCACAGAAGAAGAAATCTTTCGATTTTTCCTTTCCTCTTCATGATTCTGTAGACACTTATCATTTCGAGATGTATTTTTCAAAGAAGGATCTTTTTCGAAAAAATTCTCGAATCTTCGAAATATTTCGATCCGACGAGAATTACCAGAAGAAATTTTTGCGAATCTATATTATTAGGAATTCCAAGAAATTGTATCGTTGAATGCAGGAAAAATGACAATAGTTAATTTCTATATCTTTAAAAAAAAAAATAAGAATGCAATTGGCAATTCAATTATTATTCCCTTAACTTTTCGATTCGTTCGAATCTCTCAAATCGTTCGAATGGTAAAACAGGATACGACAGAAATCGAGACGTGTATCGTATGTTAATATAAGTGAATTTCGATTTCAATTTTATTCCAATCTTCTTTTCCTCTTTCTTTATTTCCCTATTATTTTATTATTTATCGTTCGTATTCCCTGGTCGCACGTTGACAATTTACTCGGGAGCGTTAAAGGAGGTACGAATATTATTTCGACGACGAACGACGAGTTTTCCAATACTCGATCGGTAAGGAGGAAAAGATTGAAAGACACGTAGAAATGAAGATACGTGGGATGGGAAAAAGAAATCTCGAGTGGAAGCGTGCGAGACAAGAGTAATGTCGCCCTGTCCCGTTAACGTCCCCCCCACCACTTGAAATATTTTCTACCGTTGTTGCGGTTCGACAGCGGAATGTGTCGATAAGCTACGATTTAACTAGCTTCCGATTCCGACGTTTCATTCTGTGCTAATTTAAGCAGAAATTAAAATGTGACGTGAAAAATGTCGAAATTATACTATAAAAACATCTTTCTCTTATATTTATTTAAACTCTACATTTATATTCTAATTCTATTAATATATTTGTCGAAAGCACGAAAAATCTCGTGATTGATCTCTTGATTTAATTCGAGTAACCTTTTAAAGTCTAAAAAAAAAACATCAATTTGAAACGAAGCAAAGGAGAAAAGCGTACTAAAGGATATATATATACTAAAAGGATATATATATATATTCATTCTTGAGAGAAATATTTTTATTCCACACAAGTCTACTACAATTAAAATGTTAATAAAAAAATTTGACTTAAAAGAGAAAAATGGACACTCAAGTGTGTTAATTTGAGAGAAAGAGACAAACTAAGAAATTGGTTGGACAAATTTGGAGAAATGGTAAATGCAACTCCTGTGTTTCAGCTAGTGACATTAACTGTACAAGATCTAATTGTAAATATCCAATTAGAACGAGTGCAGAATACTGGACTAATAAATTAAATTTCAAGAAGAAAAATGAAGAGGTTAGGAGAGAAGAAAGAAAACACGTGTTATCGATCTTATTGCTGCTGGATGATTTTCTGTAATTTCGACGTTCGAAATTATCTATATTAACCTCTCAACGATCATGCCTATCTGACACGTGCACAGCAAGTAATACAAAATGCACAAGCCTGAATGAGGCATGGGCAAGGTCACGTTAAAAATGTAAATTGGTGGTTGGTCTGTATTGTACCATGTTTTAAAATTGATCATACTGACCAAAGGTTTTAAAACATTTGATACGCCATTAAAAAATTGCATTTTCACAAAAATATAAAACGTTTTCTTTCATTTCTTACTTGTGTGTTTTGTATTCTATTCTTGTTAAAAAAAATTATATATTTTTGAATATTTTTCTATTTTTACAAATATTATATTCGTGAATTATTTTTGAGAGGCTGAAATAAATAAATTTTGAGAGGACAAAGCCTGTCAAACTTTAATTAATTATTCATAACTTAATAAATAAGACTAGATTGATATTTTTGTACACGAAATTTTGTCTTTGTTTCGACTCTCGAGAAAATATTCCACGAATATATAACACTTTGTAGGTATATTTACGTAACCTGATATGTGTGTATTATTTACACTCTTGCTTAAAAGTTTAGAATTACCACGTTTCACAGAACCGTTTTATAAGAATTTAAAAAAAGAAGAAATAAGATTATAATTTAGCACAGAAAATTTATTTGCGCAAAGTAATTATACTTTTGATATTTGTGACATTGATTTCGAATTAATAGCAAAATCAATAAAACATTTAATCGATATTTCTCTTCTTTTCTTTTTTTTTTTTTTTTTAAACGGTTCGAAAATTAAAATTAAACTTGATTAAAATATTATTTAATCGTATATCGTTTGTATTTTTT